AAAATTTTTTTATTTTAAAAAAAAAAAACAAATAAATAAAATAAAATAATTTTTTTATAATTTTTTTTTCCCATGAAAAAATTATGAAAAAATTCTTACAATTTAATAAAAATCGTAACCCAGGTGGTGGTCGACAAATAAGAAATAGTTTCGCTTTTTTTCGTGCCCAAGATGAAGGTATATCAAATACTAATATACCTACATCATCATTAAGGGAATCAAAAAGAGAATCAAAATTAGAATCAAAAAGAGAATCAAAGAGAGAATCAAAGAGAGAATCAAAAAGAGAATCAAAACGATTACAACAAGATGTTGAAGGTATTGGATATGGTATTGGTGCTGGTATAGGTAATAAACCTGAAAAAGAATTCGCTTCAGGTATAAAAAATTATTTAACAAAAAAGAAAAGTCGAACAAGTCAAAGGCAATCAGTAGCACAAAATGTACGTTCTTCTACTATTGAAACTTCTACTATAAATGATTTAAGAGAAGAAATACAACAACGTGAAGCTAATGTTTTGGCTTTAGAGAGTAGAATAAAACTTATTGAATCAGAAAAAGAGAAAGTTACACAAGAATCAAATAAATTACATTTATTATTTAAAGAAAAGGATAAAGAGATAAATGATCTTAAAAATTTATTATCAGAACATGATCATTCAACTGATGAATTAAGTGATTCTGTAAATAAAATTAAAAGAGAAAAGAACATTTTACAAATTGAACTTGATAAAACAAAATCTGAATTAAAAGTTCGTGAAGGTGAAATAAGAGAATTAAATTTTTCTTTATTAGAATGTGCTCATGATTTACAAGCTGCAAAAAATGATTTGGCTGCTACTATAACTGAAACTGATGCTGTATTAGATGATTTACATTCTCAATTAAAAGAACGTGAAGAAATTATAATCGCTCATGATGCTAAAATAAAATCTTTACAACATGATTTTGAAGTTACTCAACAAGATCTTACAAATGTTAAATCTGATTTGGAATCTACTCAATCCATGTGTAACGCTGAAATTGAAGCTACTCAAGCTATGTGTTCTGCTGAAATTGAAGCAACTAAAGCTAAAACTTTGGCTGAAATTGGTGTTATAAGAGCAAAATATGCTGCTGAACTTCATGCTGCAAAAGAAGAACATGCTGATGAATTAGAAGCAACAAAAGCTCAACTTACTTTTTTTAAATCTCAATTGGATTCAACAAAAGCTCAACTTTCTTTTACAAAATCAAAACTTGAATGGGCAAAAGCTGATTTATCTTCTATTAAAGGTTCTCTTGATAATACAAAAGTTGAACTTGCTGCTGTTAATAATCAATTTAAACGTCAAACTTCTGAATTAAAATCAATAAAATCAAAACTTGATGATGCTAATGTAATGATTTCTGATAGAGATGGTTTAACTTCTTTTATAATACAAGTTTATCAAGAAGATATTAAAATTGAAAAAGATCGTTCAAATGCTGAACTTGAAGATATTCAAGAACAACTTAATAAAATTAAAACCATTCATGATAAAGAAAAGAAATCAAATGCAAAAACCATTAAACAATTATCAAATCAAGTTCAAAATTTAACAAATCAACAAGGTAATTATTATTATATTTTCGATTGTATATAATACGACGAGTCAACGATATTAATATAATTCTTTTATATAGTTCAAGAAAGGGCCAAATCATATCAATTAGAAGGAGAGAACGCAAAATTACGAAAACAACTTGAACAGACAAGATCACAAGGTAAAATAAACCATTTCAATTATTATACATATTTTATACATATTTAATATATTTAATACATATTTACTCGATCACCATCAAACTCACATCACCAATTCTCATCATCATAGTTTCAGAACATGAATTAATGAAAGAAGAAATCGCTCGTTTACAGACACAAGTTATACAGTTAAAGAATAAGAAACGACGAAGTATCGTTGCTCAAATGGGTGAACCAAAATCTCCTATATCTACGGTAACTACTGTAGCAACAACAGCTCTATCAACACCACCTGAATCTCCTTGTAATTCATATTCTAGCAACGATTTATTTGATGAATTAAATAAAGCTGATCAAAATTTCAATGAAGACAACCAAGTCAATGGTGGTGGAGTAGTAACTGAAGATTGGGTAACTGTAACGAAAAGAAATAGTAATAGGCGATCAAGAAGTTCGCTTCGTGGTAATAAAACATCATCTCGAGGACGAAGGGTGAGTTTTGTTTTCATATTTACACAAATTAGCTAAAAATAAATATAATACAAAATTCTAACATGAATTCTTTTTGATTTTTACAAAGTATTAGACGTCATCGATGTTAAATTCATTGAATTTCAGTCATGGTCCGACATTTTCTCTTTAATCATCATTTTATTTTAAAAAAAAAAAAAAATATGGTTTCAAGAAATAATTATGCTTATAATAATTTACGATTATATATATAATATATATAAATAATACATTATAAATAAAATTTCTCATACATTAATCACGAATTCAATCAACATCCATCATCAATCGCATATTTTTTCTTTTCTTTTATTTGCATTTTTTAATTACTTTAAATATGTATTTATTTATTTGTGAACAATTTCCTTTATTTTTTTTTTTTATTTAATTACCGAAATTACCGAGGAAAAAAAAAATATTAATTTTTCGAATTTTTTTTTTCTTAACATTCTTTTTTTGTATTTTTATATTATCTGTAATGTTTTTTTTCTTTTCAATTTTTCTTTTCAATTTTTTTTCATTTTTTTTTTTCAATTTTTTGTGATGAAAAAAAAGTTGAACATCTCAACGAACGTTGAATCTTAAACGAACGAACGAACAAAAAAAAAGAAACTAGTTTAAAAAAATTTATATCCCTAAAAAAACAACCTTTCGAGAAAAAAAAATTTTTATTTAATTACATTATTATTTTTGTTGCCAATGTAAATGTTTAATAGCGAATTTAATAGTAATATTTTTTTTTTNAAAGTACGATAATAATTTCTAATCTCATTTTTCGTATGATAACTAATGATTTCAATATATCTCATCTCATTATTGCGATTAATTACTCGTTATCTTACTACTTGTTACCGATTACTTATTCCTATTACTCGCTACCGATTAATCACTCATTACTCATTGCTCATTGCTCATTACCCGCTACTTATTCCATCTTATTATTCGTTACCCCATTTCCTCGCGTCTTTCGCACGCATACAGCATATCTTATTCACATGAGCGTTTATCTGTTATTTAATAATCAATACATTATTTTCATGCACAAGCACCAATCGATAATAATAATAATATTCAATATTGTCAATTGTCAAATGACAACAAACATTCTAACGAACTAAATAAATGATTGGATTCCACATTTAAGAGTTGAAGTTTTTTATTGGTAAAATAATTTATAATTAATTGTTTATAATTTATTATTAAAGATAAATATTATTATTATAAGCATTATTTATTATAAGCATTATACTTACCCTGCTTTATCCAACTGATTTTATTGTATACATATAATTAATACAACTTTTTTTTTTTCTTACACAAGTACAAAGTTTAAAAAAATTTGAAACAAAAAAATTTTATTAAAGGAACCAATAAATTTTTATGATTTAAAGAAAATTTTGATTAAAATTTTTTTGTTTATTATTGTAACCTTAATTATATTAGTATCGTTACTATTCATGATTTACACGTACATTGTTCGCAGGGTTTAGCAGGAATGTTTAAATTTTATTCTGTATGACGATGATGATTAATGTTTAGGGTTTCAAAAAAAAAAAAAAAACATTTTTTTTTGATTTTTTTTTTTAAAAAGGAAAATTGTATAATTTGATAAAAAAGCCTTTTTTTACGCCAAAAAAAAATTTCGGATTATCCTTAAAGTCGGTGATACAATTTTCAATTTAAAAGTTAAAAACCAAAAACTTTTTGTTTTTTCTTGACGAAATAATACATATTACGTCGTCTTGCGTAATTCGGAAACTATAATTATTATTATTATTGTCTCTTTTTTCCATGTGAATAAGATTCAATGTTTTACAACTTTTCATTTTCACTCTCATGATACGTACGTATAATTCGTTTCAAAAGTTATTTCCTAAATAGTAAATTGTAAAATAGAAATAATTGATTTTTTTAAAGAAAACAAACGCGCATTAAAATATTAGTAAAAGTTTATTTTTAATTATTCTCTTTGAAAAAAAAAAAAATTTTGAAACTAGAAAAAAAAAACGATAAACATAACAATTGTAATATGACGATAGACGGACGATATGACAGATTAATTTTATTAATTCTCCGAATTAATTGTGTATAGTATAATATACTGACTGAGTATAATACACACGATTTATACTGACTAAAATACCCCGGGTATATACATTCTTAATTCTGGCAATTATGGTTGGCTGTACCATATACCCGAGTATATTATATTATTATTTGGGGTACAGCAAGGGATAAATGTAGGGATGTCTAAACAGTAATGCTTGGTTAAGTGGATTTATTGATGCAGATGAACATTTTGCTGTTAAGAGTCTCAAATGCTAATATTTATGATTTTACATATAGATACTATAATATTTACTATAATATCGTTATGAATTTGCATAGTATAGTACTCGTCATGGATACCGATCTCAATACTTAGAACTTATGAAAAATTAATATGTTAATGGATTAAATCTCTTTTTTAAGAATGTACCTTCTCACTTCTCAATTATATCAACTTCAGAAGTCCGTCTGACGATGCAACCACAGTGCTACAAATTCAGGATTAAAAACAGTTTGAGCTTACTGAGTTCGTGTTGCATTCATTCCTACGACAATCATTTCTCTGACAATTATCTCACCGACAAACGTTTCACCGACAGAATCATTTGACTCATTTCGCATTTCGCAGACAATTAGGTAAGGAAATTAGGGTTAGGATTAGGTTTCAAAACTGTTGGTGAAAAATGACTATCGGTAAAATGATGAAACAGGCTCCTGAATTCAGCACTATATGCACTATACGCAATATTTTTAAAGTTACTAATAGGAAATTTTTCTATTATTATTTAGTTAGCTTAATGTTACTTCCAAGTTTCCTTTATTACCCGATATGCTTTTAGTAATCCCGCTTTTGATGAAATGAATTAATATTTGGTAATCTTTTTAATATTAGCAAAGTGAATACCACATAAATCAGCGCGGTTAATATTATTTGATCGTGAAAATGAATATAAATGTACTATCAACTAAGGTATATATATATTACCGAACTTATCTACCCTAATTACACCGAACTACATAATATCAGAATAATTCTCACTACTTCATGCATCCAGCTAATTATTTCCTTCTATTAGTGATCACTTCATACTTCTGCCTCATTTGAATAAAATCCAGCCGAGTACTTGGAGTAATAGAAGTGGTAGATGTATCACAAACAAAGTTTTATAAAATGCTCAGTATTTTGCAAAACTAGTATTGCGAGTGATATGCGGACAAGTAACACGATCCATATAAATATTTTAGGGCTTGAAGTATTAAAACCTTTTTTCACTTTTAGCGTGAGTTAATTCCGTAATATAGAATGTATTTAGATGATTCAGTATTATAATAAGTTACAAATATCTTTTCTTTCTTACTTCGTTATTTATGGATTTGTATTTAATTTACTAGATCAATCCAAAGTCCAAACGGAAAGCTATTCCAGAATTATTTTATAACTAATTATTGTTCAAATTAGAATCGTTTTTAATTCATTCGAAAGTTCATTTATTTCAGTTGTTTGTCTTTGACGGTTGAACTAATTGTCCAGTTTATTTCCGACTTCGTACTATTAGATAGTCCTACACTTGTTGCTATGAGCATAGATATTGTTACACTGTCGATCATTCCGCAAACTTATATATATACCCACTAATTAACAAATCAAAAAATTTTTCTTTCGAAAACGTAGTCTTTTTGCGCATCAAATTCAAGTGTCTCATGTCTCATCTTGTTGACCACTTTAAATACAAGAAATAAATGAAAAAATTGTAAAAATTTTAAATAAATACAAGAAATAAATGAAAAAATTTTTGTAAAAAGTCTTTTACTAGTAAGGCATATCGATATTATTTATGGTAAGTTTATTATCTTAATTTAAAAAAAAAAAATCAACCACAAATTTTTTGTTATTTAAACAATTGTATAAAACCTAAAAGTTATTTATTATTAATTTTATAATTATTTTATTATAGGTTTTTATGAGAATTTCATAATAAGTATTTTATAATATAAAGATCATGTATCTTCATCATGAATGGACATATTGGATCATGATGATTTTATAGTTGTTGTTGTTTAGAATATTTAGAAAGAACTTTATTTTCTCTTTCAGAAAAATCAAAAATTGTTGAAATTGTATTATAGGAAATTTAGATATTTATTTTTGAATAAACGATTATTAATTCAACTATAGTTTTCGTAATTTCTTGTTATTTGATGATTTAATGTGGGTTATTTTTATGCTGTAAGAATGCTTACAATTTATTTTTTGTTGGTAATTAGTTTATGGAAATTTTTATTATTGTAAAAAGGTGTGAATTTATTTTTTTTCTTTCGCTTTCGCGTAGACACGTGATCGACATTTCGTAATTTATTCACAGATTGCTCAGATGCTGTTGCTACTTGCAAAAGAATTGTTTTTAATTAATTTACCAAATGAATTTGCCAACAAATTACCAACTTATTTGTGACCGCCGCGGCTACCCGATTTTAAGATCGTAAATTGTTTAAGACCATGGCGTTTGAGGGAAATATAATTAAACCTGCTCCGTATTTCCATATGAAAAGATAGATTACAAACAATAACAAAGAAATCATTAAAAGATTTATAAATGCACTTTATTTATAAGAGAAATTGGGAAAAAGGGATAATAATATAATAAGTTATACTAATTCCTGAAGTGATTTAAACTAATTATTTCGCTTAAAAGGTCTATTAACTCTATATATTGATCGAAAACAAAGTATTATTAGAGTATAGGACCAAAACTTTTGAATTTTTCATTTTTTATAGCGTCGATTTTTTTTCTTTTTTTTCAATTCATCCACAGTTAATCTAAGAACTGCATTGGCCTGGACTTTCTCTTCAAATAATTTTGTGATGTCTTTAAGTTGCGCGTCACAAGTAAACAAGAGTTTGTCTAATTCATCGAGCTTTTTCTCTGCATCGCTATTTAATTCTTCAAACATTGCTTGGCTTTTTATCAAATCATCCTTTTCCTTAACCAACAAAAAGTATTCCGAACGTTTGTTTTCAAGTGAATCAAATAATTGTGCTGCATCAGATTGTTCACATGCCAAAACATGTTCTAACTGAAATATTTCTGCGAATTTTGCATTATATTCTTTTTTAAGTCGTTCTTCTTCAAGTTCGAGTGATGTATTATCAGCAATCAAAACAGCATTTTCTAATCGAGATTCACTAAGAACAACATTATGATCATCATGATTATCAACTAGCCGTTTTCTAACGTTTCGGCCAGTCGTAGCATCTTCATTTTTTCTTTTAGCAGAGACTGGCGTTGGAATTTTTACCCCTTTTACAGTTCTATTTTTCGTAAGGTTTGACGCTTTTACTGGAGTGGTTACGGGTATTTTTGACATTTTCCTTTTAAGAGGACTAATTGGAATAGCTGTGGGTCTTGTTAACGATTTCTTCGTTTTAACCTCCGAATAACGCACCCCTTGTCTGATAGGAATTGATGATACAATAGCTTTTTTCATATTGTAAAGTTTAAAATGCTTTTTTTAAAAAAAACAAGACCGCAAAAATGTTTTGGTAGGAAGTCAAAAAGAAGAAAGAAATTATTTATGATTGTCTGCTGCGTCATGTAAACAATATTACCAATTTTAGTAGAATCTGTTGCGTCATGTAAACAATATCGCCAATTTAGTAGTAAACCTACCCTTAATCTTGACGTCACTTTGGCCAATAAAAAACTGAGTTCAGTTTTGAAAAAACGCGTGAATACTCTTGACTAGCACGTGATTTCTACTGTAGTACATAAAATTTAGGCCACCTTTTTTTTTAAAAGACCACCTATTCGTCATAGGTTACTCCTCTCTAAAATAAAATAAAATAAATAAATAAATAAATTTTAAAAGACCACCCATCATCCCACATATTTACATCTTCATCCAAAAAACCGAACTTTAAATTCCTGTTAGGGAATTATATTATATACGTTTTTTTCTCTTAATAGACAATTCCCCATGTCCCATCGGTATTATGTATACACCTACACTTAATGCTCCCCTCCCTTCGGTGCCCCAAGGCATCGGTAAATATTTAGTTATTCATTAGTATCCATGGAATAACAAGTATGTATTCGGGACCTTATGCAAGAAAAACTTTTGACGATTAAAAATCTGACAAAAAAAATAAATTCAGTTCGAAAAGCACGTGATATATTTGGGATTTTATCTACGTTGCTTTTTGTGATTCATGTGACCTCCCTGCAGATTACGGAATCAACGGAATAGGTTGAACACGATTTGGACCTCAAATTTATTTTCTCATAATACAAATCATATACTACGTGAACTCCGTTCATTAGTCGTCCACAGCAATCGTCTTGGTATTAGTATCAAATGATTCAAGCAATCACCGCTCGACGATGTCCTGAACAAAATTGATAATTGTGATGAACAACCTATTGAACACCGGCCTTAAGTTTCGACGTGGTTCGTTCGAAACAACAAAAAGAAAGATGGAATCGTTTAACCTGTTTGGTCCTCAAACAAGAGGAAAAAAGTAATATTTGCAAACCGTTCATCCCACAAGCCGCATCCACAACCTGCACTTAAACTGTTATCAAACGCATTAAACATATTCCAGAAAAATATGTTAGTTATGTTACTAATCACGCCTTGGATTCGAAATACATGTGCACCATGTGGAAAAAACATAAATTGGAAACGACGCCAACGCAGATCTAACAAAACGAAGAAACCTTTGCCTCCTTTACCTCCTGGTGATCCTCACTTTTATTATCGGGACTTCATCATATTGACCTTTTCAACAAGAGGATTAGAAATGGTTATGATTGCAGCAGCTTACCCAATTTTACGGGATTTACATAATTGTCCGGAGCGAAGCGAAGGACAATATATGTCTACGCACTATGAAAAAAAAATCGATCACGTGAGTTTCTCCGTGATCGTCACCCAATGAAATCGGCAAATTTTAGTTTTTCGTTCCGGACTTACAACGGTTCCCGTTTCCTAGTATTTATTATGAATTATCACTTGTATATTAACTTTAATCATATTCAAAGTTTATACGAATTTTTTACTTCATATTAATTAAAAAACTCTTAGTGTCAAACTATTTCACTCATATTTGCTTTTATCAACGAGAAACATTTTTTTATTTTAATGTTAAAATATTCTAAGATGATATGATATAATATTATTCCCTATCAAACAGCATAGATCTTAAAGAATATTATTTTAAATAATAAAAATCAATTAGTTCAAATTATAAAAATCATGTTTCTAACTTTAAATTGAAATTGAAATTAATTAATTGCTACAGTAAAAAGATTCTATTTCAAATAAAAATAATTAATAGTCATCAGTTCATAAACAAGCAATTGAGTGCGCTAATAATTCAATCTATTGTACTAGTGATTTGTAGACTACATTTTTATGACAACAGTCTATAGGACCTCCAGGAGGAAAACCTACAATTTTACAACCCCAATATATTGCAAGCCGAATTTCAACCCATGTTCCCTTTGCTGGTCTTTGACTTTTCTCATATTGATGGTATGAAACGTATGGATTAACTTCATGAGGACCTTTTTTCTCACAATGATGGTCATTGAAAAAGTGAGGATCTCTTAAGAATCTATAATAGACTTTATCATTTTTAAAAGTAAAGTGGCCAAATGCTTCTGGAGCATTTCTTCCATATTTACCATCAGGAACATAAGTCGTGATGATGAGTAATGGGTCATCTGGTGACCACTTGGCATCTTTAATTTTAACACCATCTTTGCAAAACAATAAAGTGCATTAACTTTTCATCCGTAGAATTGTTAAACAATAAGATCGTTATTAACATACCGAATTCTTTTTTACATTCAAAACTTCTGCTGCCAGAAGGATAACAGGCGTGAGTTTTTTCAACATGTATAAGGAAAAATATAAGTAAAGCAAATAAAATAATAAAGCGTTTCTGATTCATGATGAAATTATAATTGTTATGATAATGTTCAAAATCACCATTATACCGTGTATTTATTTATATTTTTTGCTCAAGATAAGGAAAAAATTTTTATAGAATTCCATTTCCCGAACCGGTTCATTTTCCAATATTTAACCCTGTAAAAAAAGTCGATCCGTTTTTTTATATTCCATCTTTTTTTTCATATTTCCGGGATTAATAACCTTAAATCACGGAATTTATCGAATTATTTAAATGGGCACGTAAAAGGCTCTCATTTTCACAGAAATAACGGATAAAATTTTTTATAGGGTATATTCTGAATTTATCCCCTGATCGGCACCATTTACACGATTATGCAAATGTAATTATACCTACTGGGTTGCAAATTTTATAGGAAATTTAAATTTTGCGGTAAAATTAACTATTGATTATACTATAATGGACTGATTTGAAAATTTGAGTAATTCAAAACTTTCTTTTAATTTATTTGTAATCTCAATATTATTTTTCAAGTGCAAAAGTAATAGTTCCAAAGCTTTTTAAAATTTAATTATTTTTTTAAATCTTTAAATGAAACAAAAACCAAGCGAAAGAAAAATAAGATTCAACAATAAAATATACTATTTTTATACTCACGATATACTATAAAACACTTACTATTGTGTAAATGGCAGGGGATAAATCAATTATCTCCTAGCTAATTGGAATAGTAAAATTTTACTAATTCCTAATTAGTCATGAGATAAGTAATACGAACATTTTACTAGGTTAATAGTAAATGATGTACTATAAGCTTTCTTTTTAGCCGATCCCATTTTGACAATACGGTTGTTGACTGTCGAAAGATTATTTGATTGCAAAATTTAAATAATATTAATTAGCAAAGTTTTAAAAATAAGTATAATAAACCTTCATACTAATTTTAGTGATTAGCTGAGTTTATAAATGATCGGGAATCTTCGTTTACTTCCTCATATAGATAGCCAGGGAATTACTAATTTGAGTTAAAATAGTTAATATTTAATGAGTGGCACGCTCCAGGGGTTTCATGGGAAGGGGAACATTACCCTTCGGGGAAAAAACCCTATTATTCCTAACTCCCCATGAAATAAATAATACTAATAAAAATAATAATATAATATGTACGTTAACTATTTTTACATGAGAACCACGCAGTAATTTATATGCATACAGTAAGTACATAAATTTAATGACTTGACAATAATTCTTAACAACAATTCCTTAATCTTTGTTACGTGTATTATGCAATAAATTAAAAAAGTATCATCTATATATTAGAAATGGAATTCGTGAAATTGGAATTTCAGAAAATGATAGAGTTCTGAAAATCACATTAGAATCATGTACTGTATGCTGATGAATGAATTCGATAACTTGCAGTTGTATGTGCAACGTTGTAACATTTATTTGTAAATCTCTACAACGTTGATAAAGTTACAGTTACTATAAAATCAAGATTCTAATAACAAACAAACTTGGTTTATTCAATTAATGTGATGGCTTATCATAGTATTTTTCAAATATAAAATAACTTATTATCGTTCAGTTAGTAAGATCATTTAGACTTTATTGACCGTTATTTTTTTTTTTTAATTGATCGATGTTACTTATTTTATTTTATTTTATAACAAAATAACCTGCATTATTCGCATGTGATCAATTTAAATTTATCAAAAATTACTATTTAATTGGTAAGATCGGCACAATTACTAATAGTCTGAATCATAAATTCGAAGAATTGATTTTTTGAGCTTATCTGTTTTTATATTTTAAGAAAATCTTTGAAAATTTGTCAAAAAATACTTAATTGGCAATAAGCACATATACAGTATAATAAATCAATAATTATATTTTAATATTTATGACTTACCTATATACGCAGCTTAGATTCAAATTGCCCAAAATTCACTAATACGTTTATATAGCGACAGTGCTAAATTGGCAATTAATATATTACTATGAATAAGAATTTTTTTTATTTTATGAAAGATTAAATGAATTGGTATTTAATTAGAATGAAATGTTAAAAAAAAAGTTTTTGGCCGAGCCATGGCTATTTCTGTGTGCGTCCACATTTAAAAGATCCAATGATTTATAACGAATATAAAAAAAAATAAAAGCAATGTAAAAAGCTAGTCGAATAAAAATTAAATTCTAAATCAATTACCACAACATTACGAAAATAAAATTTTAAAACTTCGTCATTATAACCCTTTAACTGTATTCCGGTGGAACTTATTAATAATTTTAGAAAAGTTACAGCAGTTAGAGGGATAGATGATCATTGGCTTAAGGGTATGGACCGAAAGGCGTCCTTAACGTGGGACTGGGGGTGTATGATATTGATATTAACGTACGAACTGGTAGCATTAACCCCGGCCAGTTCGTACGTTAATATCGTACACCCCACTGTACATTAAGGGCCACGGGCAAATCCTCATGTTGATCAAGTACATCACGTGGCTCTGCATAATTCTGGCCAGTTGTCGGGATTTTGACCGGATCCCTTGGCGTAATGACATTTAAATCTGCTGGCGATCTTCAATATCCCGTTCTATTGATTTTGTATTATAATAAAAATATTAATTTTAAAATATAAAAACTAATTTTTGCTTTTTTTATAAACTTTATGTATTAATAAAATATATTTAGTTGTTTCTTAATTTTTGCGATATATTATTAAAATTATTAAATAATAAATAATATAATAAATACTTATTGGATAGATATCAGTCAAAGACTGATATCTCTTTTCCCCATCCAATAACTTATAGTTCAGTCGTTAGGAATGATGCGGTGACCAATAGGAATTAATGCTACTAATAACGATTTCAATATTAGAAATTTTTATTAGATAAATAAACTGATAGCGAATCTAGCTAGACTCAAGAAAAAATATAAGAATAGGCAAACTACGATATATATTAAATTTAACCATGAGAAAAAACTATAGTATAGGTTTTTATATCCCTTATGTCATTAAAATCCTGCATCGACTGAACAACAATAACAAAAAATATTAATTTTTAAAAATTATTACATAATAAAAAAATTAATTATTACAAAGTATTAAAAATAATAATACGTCTATAAAAAGGAATAAAAAAAACAAATGGTATCGGGATAGTAAGTGTCGGGATAATGAGTGTTAATGTCGGAAATAATGAGATTATCATTTATCAGGATTGTGAACATCGAGTTTGCGTCATAACGGAAATCTGACCATCGGGATTTTTGATCGGCTCCCAATTTAATTTCCCTTTATCATGATATGACCCTGCGTGGCACAATGACAGCCAATCATTCAACATCGTAATTACTGTAATTAATGATTAGAAGAAAATGTGCCGCTAATATAAACTATACAAGTAAAAATTTTTATACTGGTGCAACTCTTTATTCATCAAATAATTTCTATAGATGTAAAAAAAAATACACTATAAATTTATTTACAACTTTTCTTATCATGCTTATTCACCCTATAAAAATTTTTCAGAAAATTGATCACGTGCCTGAGTTTCTTCGGAATAAAAACGAATTTTTTTTGTAGGGTCAATGTTATTTGACAACATATTGGCCAATCCAAATCACTGTCTTCCGATTCTTCATGTTCTCATCTGCATTTATTCTTATATTATTATCTTCAAACCTTTCTAATCCTTCTCTTTTTAATTGAAATATTCTTGGTGTTAAATCAATAAATTCTTCTTCTTCTCCAAATCATTAAAATTACTCCTCAATACTACTTTACAGATCGTAGCGATGGCTTAATGCGCAGTAACTGCATACATGTAATTTCTTTACGATTACATAATGTGGTCACTATGTATTTATAACGCAGTTACTGCGCATTAAGCCATCGCTACGATCTTGAAGTTTCTGTAAAGTAGCTGATTCTTACACTTCGAATGTTATAATTCTTTATCTGCATTTGAAATATCATGATAAAAGCTCTCAATAAAGTTTCTAATATATTGAAATGCATTCTTTTTCTCCACTTGTCATAAAAGAATCTAAGATTTGAAAAATTACGTTTACACCAGCACTTTTAGGAATTATTCAAATAATTTTAAAGCCAATGTTTGTATATAACTGAAGGTTTACTTGATTTACAAATTGACCATCATGTAATGATGGGTTTATAATATCCAAGTTGAGGGTGCATTATAAGGTGCCTGGGTAGCTATTCTGAGCCCTGAGACGGAATAATTTTCGAGAACGATATAGATAATAAATCACATGAATGAGTTAGAAAAATTCACAACCTTTCCTGCATTTTCTCATTCCATTCCAAATATTCCCTGCTTTAGGATTATTTTCAAAAAAAAAAAAAATTCCTTTCTCAATGCCTTTCCTTTGTATGCAGGATGTAAAATAAAAGTTAAAATATTTGCATTATTAATAAAAAAATTTATTATTAAATAAATTATACAATATATACTGACTGTATGTATCATTTGCAATTATACATACCATTCATTATAAATTTTCATAAAGTGATTAGGAAGCGTCATCATCAGTTTTAATTGGATATAATTTTTTTTGCAAGATTAGTAGTTTCTTCGTTCTAAAACTAAAATTGCAATTTTAATAGGAAGAAGCACTTTTGCTAAATGATTCATATTATAAAAACCTCGTGAACTAAGAATTAAGAACTAATATTATTATAATTATCTAAAAAATATTACAAATTAATCGTTGTTAATTATTACATACTCGCAATATTTTAAATAAAAAGAAGTAATTATTTAATACTCTTATAAACCTCCTTTGTTGCGTCATAATTGAATCAACAGCTTCATAATCCAACGTGTTTCAACATACGTTTTAAGTTTATCCCCTTCAATTTGATGTTTTTTTCACCAACCCTTGAAAATAGAATGCATTTGTCATAAGACCGAACCCAAATTGAAACAAGAATCGATACATCTGACGTTTATTTGCCATGTGTATAAAATAGGATATGACGACGCGCATATAAGAATAGGGATACATATTGTAAATATTGTAAATGTATTATAAATTTATGAATAAAGTAAAGGACGCGCATTGAAAAATTATAGTTAAAAATGGTATAATTTGCGGCATTTCAATAGTGTAATAACAACGTCATACCGTTATGTTGCAATAATACTCACGTTATGGCATATATATACTATAACATCCACAAGTTAAAAAAAAAAAGGTATATACCCTTTTTTTGGCGGGAAGCTGGAAAACCTTTTTTTTCCAGCAAACAGTAGTAGAACCAATTAAGATGAATTATATACGAAAGATAAACATTAACAGAAACACCGGATTCGATAATAGTAAGAACTGTAAGAATCTGTGAACCGAATTAAGTTAATTTATTTTATAAATTATTCTGATTGGATAAAAGATTTGATGGTGTACAACTATTGCTGCGGTGATAAATTGAAAGTTTTCAGAAATTTTTTTTTTTTTTTTAATAAATATATAAAATAATATTGTAAATATCTACTATCAAACTACAAACTATCAAACAACGGATGAATGTTATATATTGTTTTGATGATATCGCATATACAGTACATTTTAAGGTGCAATGATGTAATCTTTTTACGGGGAATTTTTATTTGCATTATCTGTATCATAACAAAGAAGATAGAATTTCGGTTCGAGATTCCATTTGTATTGTATAAATTATATATATATTGTTTATTTATTATCAGTTCATCTAAAGTTTATCCTCCCTTAACGAGATCAAATTCATTGAAAAAATCAAAAATGTAAATTTAAAATGAAAAAAAAGGTTGATTTAAGGTTAAATCTCAAAAAAAAAAAAAAAAAATATGTGCATATTATTTATTATTATTTTTGAAACAAGATTAGATCGTAATTCGGATTAAAATCTTATTTAAAAAATCTTGTACTTTCAAGGGAATATTAAAAATCTTCTTTTAAATAAATAGGAAATACCTTTTAATTTTAAAAATGGATAAATTAAATCCTTTAAGGGGTTGAAAGTGTTGAAAGAGTTGAAAGAGTTGAAAGGATTGAAAAGTTATTATTGGTTAGATATTACTATTATTGAGTATTATCGAGTACTATTAGTAGTTGATGTATTATTGGTGGTATCAGGTGCAACAAAGAAAAATCATGTCATTATGATACTAATATGATAATCATATTTTTATCACGAAAGATATTATATAAAAAAAAAAAGAGTTCTATATTAGTTTAAACCGAATTAAAACCGAATTAAACCAAAATTAAACCTTAATTAAGTGAAAAATACCTTTCCATAAAAATAAAAGAAAAGAAAAAAAAGAAAAGGAGAAAAAAATTTAAATTTCATCCCCTTAAAAAAAAAAAAACTTAGATTCGAAAGATAGTACTGTATTATAATTATTTTTTTAAAATAAGTACACTTATTCTTACTCTTACATGAATGACATTCAATGAATGAATGAAAAAAAAATTTTATTTATATATGTTTTTTTTATCTTTAAGAATTTCTTTATTTCGTTAATTCATTGATGATTTGTCAGAATTTAATCATGTACCAATTGTACCATGTTGTTTATTATTATCCAATATCAGATATTAATTATTAATCATATATGCAAAAAAAAACTCATTTTCATTCTCCGATTTTTAAAATAGATCCGACTCATCATGATTGATTTTTAATTTTTAAGAGAAATAATAATTTTTTCACACGCAAATTAAATTAATTGCATAAATTTAGCAAAATAAAGGGAACAGGAGAAAACCTTATTTTTATTTATTTAAAGATTACAAAAGATCTTCTTGATTGTCATTGATCTGTGTGTACGTCCCCTTCGGGATACGCGTATAATGAATGAACTTTAAAAAAAGATACTATCTCATAAATGTAAAAAATGAATAAAATGGTTCGAGAAATTGTTTTACAAACAAAGAAGAATAAAGATAACAAGAAATAAAAAGAAAATTACTTAAAGGGGGATAAGATTATACGTACGCGTGTATGAAATTCCGTATCGAGTAATATAAAAAAGAATTTGTACATCCGCGTAAAAAAAGTTTTTTACACAAATAAATAAATTTAAAGGAAACAAAACATGCCAAAGTTAGTCAAATCTCATTGAAGAAAACAAAACTGCGCAATGAGACTGCAAATACTGCAGGGGAAATGAGGAATTCGCGTAAAAAAAATATAAATGATTGAACTTGAAAAAAGAGAACAAGAAACAAATTATAACTTTAAATGTGAGAGTTTGGACCGCAATGGATAATTTTAACGGAATCGCGCACTAATATGGTGAAATTATTCTTTTCTTTTACTTTCTTGGATATTTACATAAGAATTTATTATTTACATGATTACTTTATTATTTACAAGATTTGTTTTTAACATTTGGAAAAAAATCATCCTAAAATTAATTTTTTAATTTTCTTCAATTGTAAAAAATATATGTCGATCTAAAAATGCATTTTATTGATATACGTGAAAAAAGTAATTAATTTATATGGTGAACGCCACTCTTAAATCTCCGATATTTAAAAGAAAAAATTAGAATTGTTTTTTGAGAGTGGCGCAGAATTTAAAAGAAAGAGATTTTAATTCACCATTATATGAAGAACAATGTCATATATTAGGAATATACGGTATGTTAACAGTTAATACAATGTGAGATGGAATTTTAACGCCATTTTGCATAAATATAATATATAATTTGGTAAAGATTTACATCGTGGTTAATGTGCGTGGCAAAACAATATTGTTCTATTTTTCACTATTTGCGTCAACATTTTGTTTAAAATATTCTAAAATAATGAATGAACCTTTAAATGTATAAACATTTTACTTCCTTGAAGAATTTTTTGAATAATGTAGAAATTTCAAAATGTGTGTAATATTCGGTTTATTTAAGCATAAGTATGTTTGATCTACAACAAAGTTATTATATATTTAGGAAAACTGTGGCTAAACTTGCAGTCCATAATATAAATTAAGAAATGATATTCCTAGGAACAATTATTTGTGGCTTCAACGTTAAACAATAGAATATATTTAATGATGCCATCCTTCTATATTCGAAAATACTTTAGAACATATTAGAACATAAATGATTATTCGTAAAATATTTTAGAACATAATAATCATAATGATAATTTTAATTATATTATATTAAAATTTAAATTTTTCCTTTGTCTTTTTAAGAAATTTTTAATCGATTACATGAAAATATTAGAATTTTGTCTAATTTTCGAAACATTTTCTTTAGATTTATTTCTTTAAATGTATTTTCGCACTTTCCCTTTAATATATTTATGAAACTCAATAGTAAAAAGATCATCAAGTCCCCCATGAAAATTCATTGTAAATAATATACAGTATGTAGCATCTACTATATGTATATGTACTTACATACAATATATTCAATATAGTAAATTATTTTAAAAAACGTAAATTAGAAAGATAAAGAAAAAAAGGTACATAAAAAAGGTACATAAAAAATTAAAATATTTAAAATATTTTATTTTTTATAATAATAATAAAAATAAAAAAATTTTTTTAAAAAATTACTTTTCCGTATATGATATTAAGTTGTAACACTTAATACGTAATTTATATTTAATCATTATTTTATCATGGTTAAATTATTAAAACAATGAATGTACATTATAATAAAATATATTGTTCAGATTTACAATCTATAAATAATTTATGTTTAAAATATAATAAAATTTTTTCTTTCCAAATTCAACCCCATTATAGTTACATTGTTCAAATTTAACACTATTCAATAGAAAATTCGATTGTCCAATCGATAATCATTTTTTTTTGTTATCAACTTTTATTGAACAATAAACATTCGATAAACTATTAACCCTGAAATCGCATAAAAATGACGGATTTTGGACGTACTTTCAAAAATTCAAAAAAAATCATTTTCTTTGAAAATAAAAACAAACAAATAATAATAATAATAATCCTTTTTTTTTTTAAAAAAAAAAAAAGAAATAGTTTCAAAAAAAGAAATAGTTTCAAAAATAGAAACACTTTCAATTTAATAATAAATTTTCTTATCTTTTCCCCCATTAACATTAGTTATCATATTTATCAAAATGCATGCCTCAGCAGTAGTCTGTGATGAACGCGTCACTGAAAATCAATCACAATCACCTTGTAAAGCTCGTCATTTCAAGGCTATTGAAGGAATTCCTTCAACTTATATTCTTGAAAAACTTCATCAATTGGGACCAAGATATTATGGTGATAAATCAACAGCTTTTGCAGAACTTTATGTTGAAGGAATAGATAAACCATTTTGGGTTCATGAGGAATATCTCGTTCTTCAATCCGTTTTCTTTCAAGAAACTCTTCAAAATGTCACTTCTGGGGATATAATTACAATTACTTTACCTTCTCCTGATACTTTTGAACATATCTTGCAATATTTATATGATGGTGACGCTGATAAATGGTATGATACTTTGACTCCTGAAAATTATTTCGGTGTCTGGCAAAATATTGAATCTCTCGGTTTGGGAATTGAAGCGAGGGCCATTTGTCTTACTTATTATCATAGCGAGATTAAAAAGAAAAACTTAAATGATGATGATGATGATGATGATGATGAAATGATTGATGATGACATGATGGATGATGATGATGAAGAATGTATTCGATAAATTTTCATAAATTTCATTAAACCCATAATTTTTATACTTTTTTTTCATTAATAGCGATTTTATTATAAAATGAACATTTTTAAACAAAACAAAACATTTTTAAATTTTATATGTTGATAACTTTTACATTCAATTTCAAATTTTTACAAATTTCACACATTTATTTCAACAACCGCTAATACGCATTTCTCCAATAATTTTTTTTTTTGTAAGATTCTTTTCATAAATATTAATAATATTATAGATAAATTTATTTCATATATACATATTCCGAAATTATCCAAATTATCCACAATCAACAAAATTTGTAAATTTTTATATAAAAGAAATTCATTAAAGAATAATTCGTTTGAACACTTTTTTTTTTCAAAAAAAATATATATATATATATATTCTAAGCTTTTTTTTATTATCTATTTCAAAATTTATGTTAAAAAATTGTAAAAATTTTTAAAATGTTAAAAAAAAATGTTAAAAGCGTTAAAAATGTAAATTAAGTTGACATATTTGATATCGATTTTGATACCGATATGTTTTTTAAAAAAAATAAAAAAATAAAAATTCAATCTTTTCTTGGCGTTTTAGAAATGTAATAACAAACTTACTAATTTAAAAATTTGAAATTTACATAATAAAAAATTATAAAAACTTCTCATGTTTGATTAGAAAGACATAACAATGATTTAATCTATTAATTTTTATTATTCTTTATTCTAATCCGTCTATTGTTAAGACGTATAATTTTAAATTCATATATTTTATTTATTTTTATTAGAAATTTGTTTTTCTTCTCAAATTTGATTGCATTTATCATTTTCATATTATCACCGTTTTTAAAATGGTGTGCCAGTTTACTTGTGATCGTATATTCGAATCTCAATATTCGTCCGGTTTTCATCCGATTTTTGTTCGGTTATATTTTTTTTTATTCAAATATAACTCTATACTCCATTTTGAAACCGGTGATAAATTTTCTCCACTTTAAGGAAACAAAAAACAAAAATAGAGTCATAATGTTTAGACGAACTTGTGCCATCCAAAATGTTTTAAATATTTAAAGATTTACAAAATCCTTACCAAATGCATCAAGTCGATCCATATGACCATATCTAAATTCATTTATTATTTTTAGTAAAACTGTCGTCAAGAGCCTTTAAGAAGCAACACTAACCACATTTTTATTCTGAATGGACTTTGGGTATTTTAGAAGCCTTAAATGAATTAAGTATAATGTAAAATCTTTTAAAAACTGTTGGTATTGTTTAAAATTGTTCAACGGCCGCGTTATCACTTTATTAATAGAAATGTTTCGCGTAAAACAAAATATTAAATTGCAATGAAATATTATAATAATCAGTATTATAAATATTGCTATAAAAAGTCTAATAAAATAAGAATAATAATAAAGAATAATAATAAAGTTATTATAATATCTTAATATTGTATTATGTATCGATGTAAATAAAATATTGATCTTGACTTTTTTTATAAATTTAATTTAAACAATTTAACGTGGTTTTATGCCTTTTTAACTTTATTAATGAACAATACAACGAAGACAGTATTGCAAACGCATTTTGTACAAGAGTCACCCGTACACCACAACTGAGCCACAGTACAGATGACATCTTTTTTTTATAAATAAAATATCAGATATCTGATATGCTTTTTTTTTTAATATTAATATCAACATTCAACATATTACGTATATATCATCATAAATTTATTATAAAATTTTTTTTTATCTTTGGGTTAGGTTACCGGATGTTTCAATAATTTATAATTTGAAAATATGAAAGTAATAAAAAGATAATTAAAAAAAAATCATAAAAAAAAAATAGATATTTTATAATAAAAATTTTTGAAAGGATTTTATAATTTTTTGAATTACAGTTAGAACTTGATATACAAACCTTCCAGTTTAATAGAAAAAATCATTATATGAAAATTTATAATATTTATATATAAAAATAATGTTTTTACTTCAAATCACCGGGGGTGATCATCACCGTTGGCCAGAATTATCAATTTTTACCGGCACTATATTTTTTTAATGCTGGTTAATTGTTATAATTTCAGTTACCAGTGATCATCACCTCCTGGTAATAGTTAGAAAAATTCTAAAATCTTAAAAAATTGCTTTATTTAAAATTCACTACAAAATAATATTTTAATTTTATATTTATATATGGGTTTTGTAGATTATCACTATGGTGATATATTGCCAGACTTTAAATGTCATATATTTAGCAAATTCATCATGTAGCAATAAATTGTACTTATATGTTTTTTTGTTAATACATTTTTCTATACATATTCTATTAATACATTCTTTCTATCATACATTCTAACCCTATAAAAAATTTTTATCCAAATATTCCCATTATTTCTCCGTGTATTCTGTAAAAATTCCGTGAAAATGATACATTCACGGATATCCGTGTTAGCGAGATGAAAATTTCCATGATTTAAGGCTATAAATTCCATTAAAATGATACATTCACGGAAAAAATATGGAAAGATAAAACACAGATCAGATTTTTTACAGGGTAATTAAATATCCCTAACCAATTGTTCATTATACTTCTTTTTTCTAGATATAGTAATAAAGTCAATATGCAAATAACAATATCAGTAAAAATAAATATATTGATTATTACCTTGCAATTTTTTTGATAATGTCTGACTTTCCCACATTTTCTGCAATATTGCTGATTTTATGACTTAGGTTTAGAGGTTTTAGCAGATGATTTAAATCTTTTGATATCCAAGAGTTATCTTTTGCCATATTGTTTTTTAGAATTTTGTAATACTGGTACTAAAGGATCAATATTTTTTTTATTAGTTATTTTATCTTGATTAATGTTATTTAATTTATCCAAATCTGATTCACCATCTTCTGTAAATTCTTGTAACAAGCTAATAAACTATTTTGATTTAGAATTAAATTGTAGAGTCTTGTTTAATACTTTTTTATACATTTCATATAACTTTCTATAGATAAGTTTCTATTTAAGAATTGTCAATTGCTCTTTACAAAATACATTATTATTTTGATTAAATAAACATAAACTTATATTAGAATCATTAAATTCATTATAATTATAAGTAATGTTTTCTATATAAATTTGTCAATAATAAAAAATAGTTTTTGCATAGTATTTTTATTTTTATTGTCATCATATCATTAAGAAACAATAAATTGTATGTAAAAAAAATGCCATTTTCATTACTAACATTATCTGATAAATAATATTTATAAATAATACCACAATATAAATTGAAATATACAAATACAAATACTCCTAATTACTGTATATAATAATAAAATATAATAGGATCCCAGAAAATATATAAATAGATAAGATCCAGCCAAAAAAATTTTACTATAAGCTTTAAGGATTTTTTCAGAACCAGAACTATAATAATACTAATCAGTTTTTAAATTAGAAAATTAAATTTCTGGCTAGTATTATTTAAAAAGGAAAAAATTTACACAATTTTTTTGGCAAATTCTAAGCAATTTGAGATTTTACTTATTTATATATTTTCTGAAAGCCTAATGTAATATTTGATATCCAATGAATTTTTAACATTATAGCCCATATTTTTCTAACATTATATGATTCAACAAATTCAATCATTTGATTTAAAGTAACTTTTGAAATATTACTGGATATTTATTCAATTATAATTTCAAATGTTTTTTCCTATAAAATTAGATTCTTATAAGTATTTTATATACAATAATTATTAAAAATTCATTATACTTAAAAATATACCTTATGGCTTATATATATATATTAGCATCTTGGTTTATCTGGTTTGCTACATAATTTAAAAATTGATTCATCTTATCACAATGTATTTTTAATATTGTTGGTATAAAAAATAAATTCTTGTATATTTTGATCAATTTTTGTAAATAAAAAATTTGTATTAGTTTGCCTTTTTATATCAGAAATTAATAAATGCCAGCATTTATATTTTTATTTTTTATCCTGTTGATTAAGAAATCTTTGATAATGGAATATTAGAATTATTTAACAAATGCTTTAAACAAGCATTAATTAATTCAACTTGAAATCATCAGTTTAAATTGAAATATTAACAATTATTGAATAATGTATTTGTTTAATTAAATAATGAATAAAAATAATTAATCATGAATAACATAACACTTTTTAACATAGAACTAGCTATCATTCCTTCTGTAAAATAATACTTAATGTAACAATGAGTCTAATATTCTTTTATTTTATAAAAATATTTCAGATAATAATTCTTTGCTTTAAAGTAGTTTTCTATGGATTTGTTAAAATGTTGTTGAAAAATATTTTCAATAATATAATTACAATAGCTATAAAAATCATAAATAAAACTCTGATATTTATTATTTAATAATTTCTTAAATTCTTATTCAAGTTTTAAGAAATGTGAAAGATACAGTGAATCAGATAAGTAGATAGAAATATTTAATGAATTGCTACATTTACAGCTGAATCAGAATCTGTAATAATAATAACAGGTTGTATACTAGTAGCTTTAATAATATTGTTAAACATCCAAGTGTATGAGTCAAAACTTTCATTGATTAATAATCCTTGAATAAGTAATATATTTTAATGGTCATTATTAAATTCAACAATCAAAAATAATGCCATATCATATTACATCAGGAAATTTGTTTAGGCGTAATTTAGTGTAATATTTCGGAGGTGGTGTAAAATTTCGAAATATTACACTAAAAACATAATATTACAAAAGTTTACGCTTTTAAATTTGAATAATTATAGTAATTTAAGAATATCTCGCTATCTACTGATCCAAACAAGACTATCTATAGCTCATTGGAATCAGCTCATCAAGACGAATCGAATGGTAGTAAAATCATATCTCTACGTTCTATAGATGACTTTCTATTAATTTAAAACTTTATTGCATACTATAGAGCGTTCTATCAACTGTAGAAATGCGAATTTACTACCATTCGATTCGTCTTGATGAGCTGATTCCAATGAGCTATAGATCGTCTTGATTGGATAAGTAGATAGAGAGATATTCTTAAATAACTATAATTATTCAAATTTAAAAGCGTAAACTTTTGTAATATTACGTTTTTAGTGTAATATTTCGAAATTTTACACCACCTCTGAAATATTACACTAAATTACGCCTAAACAAATTTCCTGATGTAATTAGTCTTATGTGTAATATCATTTATAATACAATTAAAATATTATATCTAATTCTTTATTTGAGAAGATATCATTCAT